AGCCTTAAAGGGAAGTGTCACTGCATATCAGCACACAGTTGTTCTAAGTGATCACCTTTATTGTGTAATGAGTGGTTTCATCCAGAATGACAATGACACTATCCATGGAGCATGTGGGCTCACTGAATGGTTTGGTGAAAATGATCAGAATCATATATTATGACCCTGCACTGACCAGCTCTCAACCCAACTAACACTAATGGGAGATTTGGGACTTTTAGACCAACCCAGTCTCTACAAAATGACATTCCTATACAACTTAACTGCATTATAAAGTACTTTTTAACACACCATGCATGTTTGTAACATATCCCAATTACCTTTCAAATCAACATGTCTTTAGCATTTTTTTTTTACTGTTGCTCCTTTTCAGCCAACCAATCATATGTTAGATAGGGTGGGACTTGTCATCCTGGTAATGAAGAAAATGGAACAGACGCTTTAAACAGGTAGTAAAAGGTTCATTTTTTAACCAAAATCAAGACATTTATCCTAACCCCAGCCAATTCACCTTATCACAGCTTCTATAATGGAAAAGACTGTAACAAAGCTGGATATTTTCCTAAACCTAACCTAACCAGCAAGTGAGTGAAAACAGGAAGTAAACAAACAAAACTTGTAAGTTCTTAATTCTGAGACTGTTGGAATACCGTCTGTCCTGAGATGAAAGCTCTAGTTTTCTGGGTGAAAGTCCAATTGCTGGTTTATGCCACAGTCCACCCTCTCCAACAAGGTTTTGTTGGCCATTTTCCATTTTGCTGTCCAACTTTTAGAGAGAATTTGAGACCACAGTGTTTTTTATACGTAACTGGACTAATGTGTTTAATCTCCCCGGAGCTCTCATCCTGCTGTGGAAACACAAATCACAATGCTCAGGAGGAACTTTTAAATTGGCAATAAAACCCATCGCTTTATCTGTAAAAGTTGACCCTAGAGTTCCATTAAAATACAGACGCATTACTTTGGTCATTACAATTGTATTAATTATATCCATACCTAAATAACAGACTAAATCATTACTTTGAGACTCGTGGTATCTTGGTTGATGAGCAGCATGGCTTTAGGAAAAGCAGGTTATGTACTGCCGATATTTTTATTACGTCTTGTTCGGTGAGCGCAAGTCGATTTCAAGAAAGCCTGTAACTGGCTCAATAGAGACCTTTTGGAGTATAAATTAACACATTCTGCTATGTTTTATAATGTCATCACAGCATTGCACAATGCTCCAGTTTCTTATTTAGTATAATTGCTTTCCTATTCCGTTTAGACTAAAGCTAGAGTATGTAGATTCTTCCACATTATTTGCATTTTACTTAAATTATTTGGCTCAAGAAATTAGGAAGCCAACATTATTAAATTAAATGATGATATGAATCTAAGTGTCTGGCTGTAGTGGATGGCATTCTTTTGGTTATAGAGACTAATTTACGAACAATGTCAAACATTCTGAGTTTATGGGGTTGTAAATGTACATTTACAATTAATTGGGATAAAACACATCATGGACTAGAATATGAACAGCACAGCAAGCTAAGTTTCATTTTACATCCATAAAGTACACTGGTTCTTATGCATATCTTGGTTTGGCCTTTAATTTAAAAATACAGTATTAGCTTAACACAGAGAATTAAAATATTGGCAGAATCAGCTGGAAGAGTGCCCAAGTCTGTAATTACTGAGGCTTCATTTCTCAGCCTTCACAAAACTTTATAATTCAATCGTAGGTTCAGTTTCACTGTACAGAACAGTAATGATATTTAGAATTGAGCCATGCTGTGCTTTCTTTGGGTGTATGAATTTACCACTAAGCAAGCTGCTGAAAGAAGACATTAAGTGGGAGCCATGTCTTGTAAAGACAGAGCAGTGCACTGGTGAGGTTGTGGAACTGTCTTGTTTGGTTACTAGAGGAAAGATTGAAGGTTTGGAACTGCAAACAATTATCTTTGGTCGAGAGCAATTGTGGCATTGCATTCAATTTTAAGATAATTACAATACAAACACAAAATAAATTGAATTTAATGCAAAGTCTGTGTGTGCTCAGTTATGGACTGGTACTGGCAGTTGACGTAATCAGATATAAAAGCATTCCAGAAGAGCAACATTTCTGTATTGTGTCAACTTGGTGTACGGTGACTTGAGAAATTGTCTGTGGCCGTTAAGTTTTGTTTTTGTTTGTTAATGTGGAGTCGGTGAGATGTAAAGAAGATTGGCGGCAGCTAAGAGAGAACACTGTAACAGGTTCAGAGGTCTGAAATGTACTCTGGGAATGTGTGGGTCTACACATTTTGATTTGTAATGTGAGGTTGTTGTTAAGTGTATCATATGGGCTGGGCACCAGAGTGGTGAAGGACACTCAAACAGAAAATCAAACAATCACATTTACCCCGGGAAAGTTCCTGGACATTACTTCTTGGAAAAATAAAGTTGCTGGACCTTTACATAGGAAACCACCAAATGTCTTTATACTAGCACACAACAGAGGTGTGTGTGTGTTTCCCACTGAGCTGCTAGCTCACTTTGCACAAGTTTCTATAGTTGTTCTTATTGTATAATTGTCTGTGTGTTCAGGTTTGACTGAGTTTTGACACCTAAACTAACACAAAACCCGTCCCTTTCACCTCATGAGTTTCCCTCATACAGTTGAAAAACCTCTGGAAAATAGCCAAACTTATCACAGGCGGAAACACCAGTAATGGAGCTAAAACCTGTCCAAATTATAACAACCTTTCCAAATCAGTTCTACCCACCCAATTAAAGAAGATATCTGCTGAAAACTGCCAATGCAGCTGCCGATTTCCGTCCCATTACTGCAGATTATCTTGTAATTCTGAGGGTTCTTTCTGAATTATGAGATCAGGATCTTGTAATTATGAGATAGTAAGTCACATTTATGAGAGGTGGAAGTTGAAATTACAAGTTAAGGTCTTTAAAGTGTTTTTTTTTTTTTCTTCTATTGGGAATGTGATGTGCTTCCAGGTGGGCTGCAGATTCAGCTGATTTTATCACTTCAATCGGCTTTTAACATTCTCCCCTTTTTTTTTTAATATCATTCACGTCGTTAATACAAGAATATTGATTGGTTGAATTCCTGTTAAATCTCCAACAGACATAATCTTTGTATCTAGCTAATTAAAACTAGAAAAGGGAATAAAGTTACGCAAGGTTGCATAGTCAGCACAAATCTAAATGTAAGACATCACAACCATTAGAAATATAGTTTTTAAGCTCTGACCGGTTCCTTCGCCTGCTTTTCCCACCACTGTTCTCCTGCACAAAGAAGCTTATTCCAGCTTCTCCGAGGCTGAGTCACATCGGATGCCACCGAGCTTCTTTAAAATTTAAAACACTGCATTCAGCCCCCCCATTTGAATTTCCAGGATCAAACATGTGTACTCTTTAAATATTGAGCAGACACTCATCATTTACAGCGAGCAGCGATCATCTGCATTCAGCCGTACATCTCCTGTCTGCCTCGGCTGTTTGACATCCTCTGCTCTCCGCTCGCCGTTCGAGCCTCATTTATTACCGCCGTACAGACGTGTAATCAGTCTTTACTGCCGGAGCAAATGTCTCCCCTCGGACAGATCCCCCGCCGCCTGCCTGCTATTAAAATTAAATTGGATTTCATTTCTAAGCTCCTATTAATTCAGAGAAGTCTTGTCTGTTGATGGAGGGTCCAGTCCTGCAGTTAGTTTCCCCCTCCTGTCTTTTCTTTCAGGTTTCCGGCCGGCGGCGTGAGTGCCGTGGCTCTAATAATGATAATCATTCAGTGAACATTTTTGGGAGGACTTTGCAGAGTTTTCAAATAAAAGATGATGATGTCTTCTATACCCTGTTATTTAATCACAGCTAATGAGATGGGGCCAAGTTTATTATTATGATTTTTTTATGTTATTGGGTTTGTTGTAGGAAATGTGTCCCATTTCAATTTCCGATAGTTCTTTCGAAGCTACTTTCTGCCTGCCAGCAAGGTCTCCAACCTTCGGGTTCGAAAAAGAGGGAAAGGAAGAAAGACAGAAAGACTCAACTCAGATGGAAATTAGTGACGTTCGTTTGACTGGTTTCATTGCTCTGACTGCTTTTCTTTCTGAATGTTACGTTTCACATTTTTGCCTCAGCAGACACCCAAATCAGACGTTATCATCCCATTACGTGGCTGCTTCATCGCAGCTTGTTTCTTTACAAATAGACCAGTAGGGACGTCCTGCACCTTCTCCTGGGCTCAGAAAATGTGTTATCACCCAGTCTGATCGCTGTTAACAAAAACAAAAGCACAATAACTCAGTGACCTTTGGTGGTGCATGCAAAATCTCAGGCAAAGTTGTCATTCTGAAAACATACCAAATGGAGCTTTGCACCGTGGTAAGCATAACAACAGGTATGTTATAACCCAAACCATGACTCTTTTTAAGCCTGACCAAGTAGTGTGTTTTAACTAAAAACACAACTTAAATAATAAAATAAAATTACAATTATGGTCTGAGATGGGAACCAAACCAAAGGTTACAGCGTCAAAGTCCACAGACTTAAACCTCCACTATTCCCTCCAACCTCCAAATGTGGACTTTGTTCTTCTATGTAAGGGCTAAACTGAGGCTCCACCACCATTAAATGAGGTTATAATGGCTTACTGAGCTGAGAAGGTGGGGGAGGTCCTCATTGGCGCATAATGTATAGAAATGATGTGCAATAATAAGAGTCAATAAATGGGCTGAGAATAACCAAAATGGGTTCAGCAGAGCCTAAAGATGATGATGATGATGTCATTCATGTAGTCTGTCAGTCAATATAATCTCATCGAGTGCTATAAACGAAATCAGCAGAAATATGTGTGGTCCCCAAGATGAAGCCTCCTGAGGCTCCAAAAGACCAAGAAATGGAGAAAAGGATCTGCATATCTTATTATTAAGACTGGTTGAAAAACATTCAAGATGGTTCAATGAACCGTCGTATCATCCCATCGTACATGTTATGTGTTTGATCATTTATTTCTGTTCCAGGGTTGGAGAAAGTTGGACGTGACTCCACCTACGAGCAAGAGGGGAAGGTGCAGTTTGTGATGGACGCTGTTTATGCCATGGCCTACGCTCTGCACCACATGCACCGTGAGCTCTGCACCGGATACCCTGGCCTGTGTCCTCGCATGGCCAACATCGATGGCAAGGAGCTGCTGGCCCACATCCGTGCCGTTAACTTCAACGGTAAGAACTGCATTGGTCTTCATTGGCATCAACGCTCCATAGGCAAAAATCAACACAACTCATTGTAAAGACTTCATGGTCCCACAAAATCACAGTGCTGCACACAACAGTAAATGTTTATACACTCTTGCTTTCACCCTCATGAAAATGGTCTCTGACACTGTGGTGGCTGCTCTTAAAAACATCTCCAGCCAGCGTACAGGTAGAAGAAGAAGGTAGGACATCTGTGTGTGGCATTTCTTCATTAAAATTCTACACTAACTATTGTTACGCCCAGTCTAGGGGCACCTGAACGCAACACGAATGTGCCATCCCTCTCCGGTCCCAAGCAGCCACACCACAGCAGTTTTACCGGACAAATA